AGAGAGAGAGAGAGAGAGAGAGAGAGAGAGAGAGAGAGAGAGAGAGAGAGAGAGAGAGAGAGAGAGTCCATACCTCATTGTTGTGGTGTGGTACAGTCATAGCCACCAGACTTTACATAATTTTCAGATTTTTCACATCTTTCGTGGTTTCCGTCTCTGGTGTTAGCTTGTGTCTGTGTTGAAGTGTGACATCGAAGTGGTGCAAGATGCTGTGAGAGTTGTGGGCTCGTTGCACACCATACCAATTTGATAAAAAGAAAAGTCGTGCAGTTGATTGTAAACTTCAAAACTGGAGTCAAATATTTAAACCAGAATGATCGCTGACCATGTGAAACAATTATGTTCACTTGGGCGCCTGGGCAGCCTGTAAAGAACAGCACTCCAAATAACGAATTACAAAGCCAGGTCTCGCTGACTATGGCTCCACCCAGAGTCGCTCCTTCACACACTAAAACCAACGCAGCTCACTTCTCCTACAACACAAAACCAACTGATCTAATGAACCGCACAATTTTCAGTCTGAGAAATGTAGTTTCCTCTCAGAAAGTTTCTGCTTTTGATCTGATTGCCGAGAATTCGATTCTTACTCTGTTCTGCTGTGTTTTGCTGTGTTTTCTAAGCCTGTGTATGATGTAAGGTATGTATGCCATTGGCTTACCTGAGTCCAAGTCTGAGTCTGTGTGCTAACTCTGTTCGCCATGTTGTGTGGCTGTCCCTCGGACATGGACAAGGTAGTGATAGTGCAGGAACGGACTGGAAGTTAGCTGCGGGGACATATTGGGAATAGAGTAGTGGCTAGGGACACGAGTAGAACTCGTTAGAGGCCCAGTAGGGATTTTCCAGCAAGTCGGTTGGGCCTGAGAAGGTGGTCTGGTAGATGTCCAGTAGGTGATGATGGTCCTGACAGGCTGACTTGTAAGCAAGCACCAAGGTGAGTGCACATCCACAGGGTATAGGTATAGGGATGATGGTCCAGGGCCTGAATTCCTGCCAAGAGCAGGAACACCCTGTAGTTCTATTGTGCCAAAGGGTGGCCGGGTAGACCATGGTAACCGACCGGACGTCCGGACTGAGTTCCAGACAGTCCGGAACAACATGTCCGGCTCCGGTGTCCGGCCCGTGATGTCCGGATGGAGGCCCCCAGAAAAAAAAGGACGGCCCAGGACGTTTTTCGGGTCCTGGCCGCCCCTTGAAAAATAACGGGGTGATTTTTCAGTGTTGTTTCACCCCACCGTACAGGGCCTAGAGGTCCGGACACGAGACACTGCAGGTTTTTGGGATGGCGGGTTTCACACAGGCCCGAGCAATTTCAAAGCAACCGTTTCAACTTTCAACGTGCCGCCCGCTGCTGCTGCCCGTTGTAGAGAGAGAGAGAGAGAGAGAGAGAGAGAGAGAGAGAGAGAGAGAGAGAGAGAGAGAGAGAGAGAGAGAG